TCTCGTGGCCCCGTGTGCACCTATGGAGTGATGTTATGCAGGGTGAAAAGCCTGATCTCTGAGTGAACTGGAACTTGGATCCTTGTTGCAAAATCTGATGTGTGTGAGGCGAGGAGGTAGGGACGAACATTACCTTTAACAACCCCTCCCTACTACGTGTGGTATGAGATGGCCTGTGAGGGCAGAAGGAGAGCTGGGCACCCAGGGGCCAAGGTGAGCCTGCCAGCCCCAGGCCGTCCTGGCACCATCTGCAGTGTGGCGCCTGAGAGAGTGCAGCCAGCCGCCACCAAGCCCATAAGCTCCCTCTCCCTGGGGGCCAGGGAGGTAATTTAGTGTCTCCATCCCCAGAAGTTCTTGCATTTATCAGTGGCAGCTGCACGGTCCCTGGACTGTAAATCATAAAGCTTTAGGTGTATTTCTCTTGTGTTGACAACCCCTAATAAATAATACAGGGAATGCTTTTATTTTTTGGCAGAAGTCTATTTTTCCCTCCCCCGCTTTTGTTTCCCAGTGACCTTCTTTCTTAGTCTAGCTGGAAATGTCCAGGTAGCTGATTTTCTGAGCCCCTAGGATAAAGCACAGTTGTTGCAGGCTGTTTGGGACTGGTTACTGGTCTGAAAGGATGGAGGGTTGAACCTGTCCTGTGGTTCCGTGGAAGAAAGGCCTGGAGAACATCCGTAAACATCACAGAAACCCCAGTGGAGCAATCTGACTCTGGAACATACGTGGGCTACGTGAGAAGCCAGGAGCAGAGCTGGTGACAATGAATTAGAATAATGATATCCTAGGTGATGGGTGGGTAGTGACAGAGGGGGTCCTATTCTGAACTATGATATTGAATATCCTCATCGAATGAACACTGGAATAATCCCATTGTGTGGCTTAGAGGGAAAGAGCTGTAACACCAATTCAAAGGCATATGGTTCAAATCCACCAGCTGCTCCATATGAGAAAGACGGGCAATCTTTTCTCATGTAATTTATTGCTTCTGAAAACCTTCTGGAGGGTCAGTTCCAACTTGACAGGTATATTATAACAAATGTTGTTGTTGTTGTTGTTGTTAAGAGTCATTGAGTTGTAGGCGACTCATAGCGACCCTATGAACTAAAGTTCTCAACACCTGTGTGACTTTCATCCTCTCTCCAGGTTCATTGGGGTTTCTGGAGGCAAGTTATTACGGAAGTGGATGCCACTCCTTCTTCCAAGCTTCTTTTAATCAGGGAGCTCCACCAAACACTGTCCACCAAGGGTAACCATTCTCACATTTGACACTAGAAGAATTAAATTATTCATTCAAATTAAAAGGGAGCTCAAGTTGCTCAGGGGTAAGGAGATGTGCTGCTACCCCAAAGGTGTGAGGTTTGAATCCACCAACTGCTCTTTGGGAGGAAGATGGGCAGTCTCCTCTCGTGGGATTTCCAGCCTCTGAAAACCCTTGGGAGGGTCAGCTACGCCACAGTTCTGTCTCAGCGGTGGATAACAACACCACAAGTAACATCCACTTTAAATTACAGCTGACGGCCAGACAAAGCATATTCTCAGAATTATAGCTGACCCTTCAGCTTACAAGGGTTTCTGAGGCTTCTGTACAGAGGACAATCTTTGCAAGCCTAGGTGACAGTTCTTTTCTGTCTCCCTAAGGTCACTAGGGGAAGTCTGTAGGTAGTTTTCCTGCTCATCCAGAGGTCACACCTCTCTGGCTTTTTTAATCTACCAGCCACTCAACAAGAACAACATAGATAATGTGTTCTCGTGCATTTTACAGCCTCGGAAAGCCCACCGGAGGACCAGCTAAGGGTTAATGTAGACACCACGGCACTGACTTGACTTGATGGTCATGAGAAGTTAGGACCAGTTGGTCTATGGCAAGGGGACTATTGGCAGGATGGTGGTGGTGGTGGTGGTGGTGGTAAGGTGTTTGAAACCACCGACCTTTTGGATGGCAGCCCAGTGCTTAGCTGCTGGTGCCACCCGTACTCCTCAAGAAGCAGCTCATTTTTTGGCACTCTTTGCAGCCACCATCCTACCACTCCAGACAACAACAGTACTGAGGTGTTGCACTGTCAAGCCAAAGGCAGGAGGTTCGAATCCACCAGCTGCTCTGACAGAAGCAACTTGTCCACAGCCTGAAAGATGTAGGAGAGAGGCTATGGGAGGTCCACACACACACACACACACACACACACACACACACACGCGCATCACCAAGGCTCCTACAAACAGGTGACAAGCGGCTCTGGGTCCTTAACAAACACTCTAATCTAATTATAACCCGGAAACTTGAGTATTATGCTAATGAGTATTCTTTACCAGGCTCTGGCCACCTCTGGGTTCCCCAGCTCTCTAGATCAGCAGAGCGAGGGGAAAAAAAAAGACTTCAGGTTATCAGAGAGAGGTCCGTGCTTGGAGGGGTTCACAGAAGATGTGGCTCCGCCCCCCCGACCCCCGACCTCTGTTTTTAATGGCAAGCAATCATCGGCTGCTGGTCTTGCCTTAATGAAGTCTCCAGATGAACCCCATCCCTGGTGCCTCCTTTTGATATTTTTCTGCATCAGATCTTCAGGCCTGGTATCATCTGCAGGCACTCGCCAGGCATTTGCCTTTTGTCCCTGGTGCTCGGAAGATGAACATAAATCCTTCACCCTTTCTCCACACAGCTCCCGCCCCTGCCTTCACAGCAAAGGCATTGGGGTCAGGAAGGGGGTCGTCTGTTGGCTCCGTTAGTCTGTATTCCCCCCACCCGTCCATCTTATCACACCGGTCCTTCTGTTATCACTGACGCGGCATGCATTTCATCTTAATTACGCATCTGCTTAATCCATAATTTCTGATCTATGGCCATTAATTCCTCATTACAAGCACGCTGCCCTTGACAAGGAAGACCACATGAAGGAGCTGAGAGGCAAGTGGGAAGATGAGTTTAAGTCCTGCAACGACAGTTTGATCCTGAAGGCTATTTGTGGGCAGCGGTCTATTGTTTGCAAACCTTTGATTTGGGAGGGGGCCCAGCCACACAGGTCACGGCTGAATTAATCTCTGGGGTGAAGCTGATACAAAAGTCCAACATTCAGACGCCGCTGGGAGCTCTCCATGGGAAACTGCCCGCGTCAACTTTCGTTATTACGATTCTCTTTATGGAACGTAAATGGATTGTTTTTAAAGCAAACATCATATCCCTAATGTTCCATAAATGGAAAGTTAGTATGATTTGCATAGTGGAGACTGTAATAAATTCAGTAGGGAACCCTCAGATCCACACTTTGATCCAGATGTTGAGTCTTTTCTCCTTTGGGGGACTAGTGGATAAGCAGGGAGCCCTGGTGGCCTAGCAGAAAGAAGCTGTGCTGCAATCCCAAGGACACGGGGTGCGAAACCACCAGCGGCTCTGTGGAAGAAACATGGGCAATCTCCTCCTGTGCAATGAATTGCTTCTTAAAACCTGCCAAAGTGTCAGCTACAGAGTCCACAGTACACACAACAACAACAACAAAAGGGTAAATAGTTGTGGGCCAACCCAAAGGCACATGGTTTGAATCCACTGACTGCAGGAGAAAGACAGGTGATTGACAGCCTCTGGAAACCCACTTGAAAGTCAGCTATGAGTCGATTTCAACTAAATAACACATACCACCAATAATAAATCCATAGCTGTTAATGGTTTTAAATCCTGAGCAATTTAAAAAACTTCTGGGAACTGATGCTGTGTCAGAGTCACACCCTTTCAGTTGCTGGAGCAATAATTATCATTACATGCACTACTTTGTTCATAAGGGGGCAGAGAGAATCAGAGAGGCTAACTGGCCTGTCCAATGCCACACAGCTAGAAAGTGGCAGGGTTACACCTGAAAGCATTTGGAGAGCTTGTTGTTGTTAACTGCTGTTGGGTCTATTATGACTCGTGACCACCCTATGAACAAAAGTTCTGAACCCTGTTCTATACCTATTGTCATTTCTCTAATGTTCATAGAGGTTCCAAAGGTCTGTTGTTTAAGAAGTGGATGCCAGTCCTGCTTCCAAGGCTGTCTTAATCTGGGAGCTCTACCAAACCCTGTCCACCATGGGTAAACATGATGGCATTTGACACACCAGAGGCACAGCATTCAGTATCACAGCAACCCCACGTTATCTCAGTACAGCAAACTGACAGACCAGTGCTGTACCCCTTAGAAAAATGTTCTTCCCAAACACAATCAACAGCAGGCCCAAGCTCCAGTTTGGAGGTTCGTGTGTGACGCATTTCAATTCTGGTGGGTAGGTTCTCTTGATTTAGTTGAAAGTCAGGTGCAAACTATTAGATCATGCTTTTTGTTTGCTTGCTTTGTTAACAATTTTTTTTAAAGATTTTTTTTCAATTCATTTCAATGAACATCTACAGAGATTTTGGATTTCCATTCATTCATTGTTGCACTTTTCTCCCCGCCCACCCCACTCCCACCCCTAGTTCACAATTTTTATTAACAATTTTTGTTAACAATCATGTGTCGGCTGATTGGTCACCTGGGTTTAGTCAGCCGTGGGCTGGAAGTCTCTTGTTTAAGTCAATCAGGACCGAGTATTAGGAGAGCAGGGAGGGGTTTTTCCACCCTCCACAGAAGAGAGGAAGACCCTCAATGATATGGATCGGCACAATGGCTGTAACAATAGGCTCAAGTGTGTCAGAGATGAAGATGGAGAGGCAGATTCAGACAGTGACCATGGCAACGGGCTCAAGTATGTCAGGGGTGTACAAGATGGTGCAGGAGAGGGAAGATTCAGATCTGCTGTCCCCAGAGTTGCTATGAGTTGTGCTCAACTTGATGGCACCTAACAGAAGCCACTCCCAAGGTCCCTCTAAGAGGGATTTACAATTGCAACCATTCAGTAAACAGCCAAGAGCCTGAATCATTTGTACCGGTCGGTCGGTGACTCCCACTGAGACCCATTAGCCTCACAATTTCTCTTGCCCAGGTCACAGGAAACGGGAGCTCTGAAGACCCACCTGCAAAGTCCGAGATTCTTACCTGGCGCTGAGGGTGTGCCCACTGACCACAGACTGCCGAGAAGGGCTCCCCACGGTGTCTGTAGCCAGGGACAGGGTGCAGCTGAGCCACGACTGCAGATTGCTCTCTGGCTGTGAGCTCAAAGTGGAGACATTATCCCTGGAACCAGAAGGCAAGACAGTGTCAACCGTGCCAACAGCAATCACTGGATGCTCAGCCGGTGGCAAGAGTGGGGTGCTGTGCTAAGCGCTGCGTACGCAGCCTCATGTGGGGCTCACGGCAGTGGCTCCTGAGCGGTGCTGCTCGGACTGCAGAGAGAAGACGACTGAGGTGTGGGGACGCCAACTTTGGCGGTGGCCAGGGTCACTGATGGAATTGGGAGGCAAACCTTGGCCCGATTCCAGTGCCCAGGCTGCTAACCATTGCATTTCTCCTGGTGGGGAGGTACCAAAATCCATGCTCTGATCTAGATGTTGAGTCTTCTCTAGTTTAGGGGGGTCAAACCCACCCGGGGTACCACATTTAAAAGGTCTGGCAATCTGCTTCCATGAGATTAGTCAAGAAAATCCCATGGGATTTGTACAATTTGATGAGGTGGTGGGGAGTGTGAGGGAAATTGGAAGAATCTGTTCTGGAATACAATGCATTTGAATATTGTAAATAAGCTAGAATAATAAGAATTAGTAGTAGTAGTAGTAGTAATAATAATAATAAAAAGGAAATCCCGCAGGGCTCAGTTCTACTCAAAAGACACAAACTTGGAACCTTAACAAAATGATCTCTTCATGGACTAGGGGATCAAGTGAGTCTTTCTCATCTTAACTGAAAGGCCTTTACAGACATAGACTTGACACGTGGGCCCCTCACTACTAAAAGCAGGGCCAGGAGAGGCCCAACGGGGGCTCAAGAATATTTTCTAGTTGATACGCTCACTCTGCATTTATAGATAGGATACTCTGTGCCAGGCACTACAAGGAAGAGCTATAAGTGTGACTCCATCACCAGCCATGCCCACAAGACCTCACTGTAAGAGAATACATGGACATCGATGTTACTAATGCCACAGAAAGGGACAGAGAACAGGCTCCATGGATAATACGGAGGGATGCTTGCATCTTGGAAGCACAGTGGAGTCAAGAGGTCCAAGAAGTTAAGCTGCATCTTATTGGAGGTTTGGTCGCAGGAGGGACTGGCGAGAGGAACTTTGGGTGAAGGAGTAACAAACAAAGATATGAGGGGCATGACAGAGCAGGGGCTGGGGAAGAAAGCAAGAGTCTCAGGTGGAGAGAGAAGCCAGGCTGCAGATGGCACAGGGCTCTAACCTCACTGTCCAAGCCTTCCCTGAGGCAGTGGGGAGCCACAGAAGGTGTTAGAGGAGGAGAGTGGCATTCCTCCTGGCTTCTGTTTCAAAGCATTTGGACAGTTCAGTAATATTCCCTGGTGTGGGGTGCATGAGCCTGGAGCTAGGGGTCTCAGGGGTCATCACTGACAATTCTCCAAATGGACACATTTTCCCCAGCTAAGTGGACACACAGAGTCAGGACCTCAGGGTGACTTACATCTCTTTAGTGGCGCCACGATCCACTGCCGTCTGGATGCTGTGAAGAAGCACAAAAAAAAGAGGTTACTGCGTGTTTATGAACTTTGTAAGTAAACCAGTATAAAAGAAAAATTTTATTTTCTTTTTAAAAAAAGAGTTTAGTGTGTTTGTGGGTGGTCTTTTGTTTAGGGTTTTTTGTTGTTTTTTTTGTTTTGTTTTGGTTTTTTTAAAATAAATCAAACCGAAAAAAAAAACAACTGTGGAATAACAATGTTTGACATGGGCAGACTTGGGTCCAAGTGTGGCTTCTAACATTGGCTGCTGGATAATCTCAGGCAAATACCTTCTCTAATTCTCAGCATCCTCTTTTGAGCTAAGAAAGGGTTCTACATAAAGTTGGACAACGAATACAGAAGACTGAAAAGGAACCGACGCCTTTGGATTGTGACGTTAGCACAGAGTATTGAATATCCCACGGATTGCCAAAAGAACAAACAAATATCTCTTGAAGGAAGTTCAACCTAGAGGCAAGGATGGTGAAACTTTTCCTCACTTATTTTAGGTATACACTTCTTCTTGTTGTTATGTGCTGTCAAGTCACCTGTGACCCATGGCGACCCTATGTACAGCAGCTCTGAACCCTGTCCTGTCCTGAGCCAATCTCACTAATTCTAACATACCAACCCCCATTGCCACAGTCACTGTATCATCTGGGGTCTTCCTCTCCTGTGCTGTCCCTCCATCCTTCTAAGTATGAAGTCCTCCTCCAAGGATCTGTCTCTTCTGGCCATGTGCCCAAAGTATATGAGCCAGAGCTTCAAAATGCTAGCCTCCAAGGATTTGTTGGCAGTCCAAGAACTGTTACGTCCATGATATGTTCAAGACTCTTCTCCAGCACCATAGTTCGAAGGCACTGATACTTCTTCTGTCATCCTTAGTCATTGTCCAGCTCTCTGTCACATAGCAAATAATTGCGAAGACCATGGCCTGGATCAGGTGCACCTTAATCTCTAGACTGACACCGTTGCTTGTCAGTACTGTGAAGAGGTCCCTCATAGCAGATTTTCCCAATGCATTTCGTCTTTTGATTTCCTCACTGCAGGTGCCAACAGTGTTGACTGTGGAGCCGAGCCAGCTGTAAGTGTTAACAACCTCGATCTCTTCTTCATCCAGTTGGCAGAGTGATGAGAATCTTTGTCTTAATATCGAGGTTAGGCATATTCTTAGGAGGAACCAATCCTTGGTGAGAGACATCACGCTGGGAAAGACGGAAAGCCCGGGAAAGACAGGAAGCCCCTCAGTAAGATGACTGACACAGTGACTGGTGCACCGGGCTTGAGCAGGACAGAGACCATGGTTAGGGGGCAGGGCAAGGTGCACCCATTGTTCACAGGGGCACTAAGAGTCATCGCCATCAACCCAACAGCACTAACGCCCACACATCCCTGCAGCGCAGCCAGAACGCTGCTTAGGGACCAGGAGAGAGAAACTTGGGTCTCAGGAGTGACCAGTCTCTGGAAACAGACCTCGTGCTGGGAAAGGCAGGTCAGAGAAAGAGAAGATTCTCAACAAAACGGACTGACGCAGTGACAGTAACGCGGACTCAAATCAGAGACCACGAGGAAGGTGAGGGTTCAGGCAAGGGCTCAGATCTGCTATCCAGGGGTGTTGCAGACCGAGGGCCAAGTATTTTTATAGTTATTAATAATGAGACAGATAGCTAGGAATGAGATCAAACACAGAACATAAAAACAGGGGGCCGGCATGACCAACCAAAGGACCCCATTCCAGCTTTCCTGTCTCTTTATTGAAAATTACCAGGAAGTAAGTCACAAAGAGAATTCAATGCAAACGAAGCCACGCTCTTTCTATTGAAAACCTTCCCCTTGACTCAGGAGGGAGGGGTCAGCAAATGCAAGAATCTGGTAAACCCTTAAGGATTGCCTTGGTGCCTCAGGGTGAATTCCGGCTTAAATCTGAAATAGCGTTCTTCGGTTTATTACAAATATTTAGTATTGGCTTCCCATACAGAGGGTCATGAGGAATTGAAGGCGACTGACAGCACCTACCACCCACCACCACCACCGCCTCCCGAACCATGGAGGAGAGTAAACCAGAAAGCGCTTGTAAACAGCTCAGGATTATTACTGGCAAATGTTGTCAAGGTGCAGTCAAATCAAGTTCAGCTCATAGCAGATCTATGACAAGAGAACCTGTAAGGTAAAAAAGGTGCAGAGAACCAGGTGAAGTGAAACAAAAGAGTTTATTAGTGGTTCTCGGGGCAGATTTACTGTCTGAGGCCAGAGAAAGGCAGGGTGAGGCAGCAAAGTTACCCTTGAGGAAGAGTTACAGGTTAAACTTTATAGGTAGGGGTTGGGGGTAGTGTGGTCAAACTGGTGGTCAGTTCTCCTGGAGAAAGTTGATTGGACGCCCTTTGTTAGCTTCTAATGACAGAGCTGCTCAGTCATGCAAAATGTGGTTGACAGCTGGGTTTCCTTCTGATTGGCCACAGTGTCTTACACCAGGTAGACTGGAATGTCTCCTAGAAGGTGTGGTCAGCCCCAAGATGCCACCCAGCCCCCAAGGTGACCTTTCAGAACCAAACACTGCATGGTGAGGGATCCTGGCAAATTGTTGTTGTTGTTGTTATGTGCCACCGAGTCGTTTGCGACCCTATGCACAACAGCCCTAAACCCTGCTCTATCCTGCGCCAACGGCACTGCCTTTGACACACCCATCCCGATTACCCCAGTCACCGAATCAATCCATCTCATAGAGGGTCTTCCCCTCCTGCGCTGTCCCTCTACCCTCCCAAGCATGATGTCCCTCTCCAAGGACCTGTCCCTCCTGGTAACATGTCCAAAGTATGTCAGATGAAGCCCCAGAATCCTTGCCTCCAAGGAGTAGCTTGGTTTAATCCTCTCCAAGATGAATCTGTTTGTTTTCCTGGCAGTCCATGGTACATTCAGTACTCTTCTCCAGCACCACAGCTCAAAGGCATCAACTCTCCTTCTGTCCTCCCTAGTCATTGTCCAACTCTCTGATGCATAACAAGTGATTGCAAAGACCATGGCCTGTATCAGGCACACTTGTTAAATGACACCAGCCATCACCACGACTCTGGTATTAGAATAACTGCTGTTGTGGTTAGGTGCCATCGAGTTGGAAACAACCATCCATAGCTGACCCTCCAGTGGGTTTTCAGAGGCAGTTAGTTGCACAGGAGGAGACTGCCCGTCCTTCTCCTGAGGAGCAGCTGGTGGATTCAAACCGTGTGCCTTTGGGATTGCAGCACAGCTTCTTGCCACTAGGCCACCAGTGCTAGTGCCACTACTTTTAATAGTATCAGCTGTGGTGCAGGAGAAGAGTGTAGAGTATACCATAGACTGACAGGAGAACAAACAGGTTTGTCCTGGAGAGGTTGAAGCCAGGCTGCTCCTTGGAGGCAAGGATTCTGAGGCTTTGTCTGACATACTTTGGACATGTCGTAAGGAGGGATCAGTTCTTGGAGAGGGATGTCATGCTTGGGAGGGTGGAGGGACAGCGCAGGAGAGGAAGACCCTCTATGAGAGGGATTGATTAGTGGGGTAATAAGGGTAGGTGTGTCAGAGACAGTAAAGTTGGCACAGGATAGAGCGCGTTTCAGGGCTGTTGGACATAGGGTCACTATGAATTGCAAGCGACTCGACGATACATAACAACAACAGCAACAACAGTGCCAACAAAGCATTTGCTTTTTATTCTCTGTGTGGTTGTTGTGTACCATTGAGTAGGAACCGACTCACAGCTGACCCTCAATAGGTTTTCAGAGACAGTAAATTGCACAGCAGAGGACTGCCCATCCTGCTCCTGCAAAGCAGCTGGTGGATTTGAACTGTGTGCCTTTGGGGTTCCAGTGCAGCTTCTTACCACTAGGCTAAGAGAACTCCTTTATTCTCTGTGAAGACTAGCAAATCAGGAACAGTGAACAGCCTCTCAGGGCATTCTGGGGAACTCCTAAGCTAATTCTAATGCTAGTTATTCTTTAGGGAGTAGGTGCTTTATTCAATAAAAATATTTTTTTTCTATAATTATATTTTATTAATTTTCATAAACATTTACAGAGATTTTGGGTTTCCATTCATTCATTGTTGCACTATTCTCTCTACCCTCCTCCCAGTTTGTTCTTGTCCAAATGCCACAGTGCTTGTCAAAGCCAGTTCTGATTAATCTTCTTTGTCAGTGTGTCCTTTGCCATTCCCTATCACTCCTCCCTGAGAGAGACTTCACCTGAGTCATAAGGAAAAGGGGATGGCGTATTCTCTTAGCCACTTCCTGCTGAAAAGGGACGCTGTGGGTTTCAGGGTGAAGATCTTCTCTCACTACTCTAAAGGGCCCCTTTGGCAGTAGGAAACACATAGACTATTATGGAGATTGATTTTGGAATTTAGATGCACTCTTATTGATTGTGCTTGGCCGTACATACCATTTGACCCAGCAATTCCACTACTGGGAATATACCCTGAAGAGACCATAGCTGACATCCAAGCAGATATATGCACACCTATGTTTATTGCAGCTTTGTTCACAATAGCAAGGAGTTGGAAACAACCTAAGTGCCCATCAACAAACGAATGGCTAGAGAAGCTGTGGTATATTCGCACAATGGAATACTATGCTGCATTAAAAAACAAGGAACTCATGCAATATTATTCAAAATGGTTGACTCTGGAGAACATTATGCTGAGTGAAATATCCCAGTCACAAAAGGACAAATATTACATGATGCCACTGTTGTAGAATGGGACTGTCCTTGGGGTTGGGGAGAGACTGAGTAAGATGGGTTCAATAATGTATACTGCACTGAAACAGAGGAGGGAGAAAACTGTTTAAAAGAGATATATGACTAGGTATTTCTGTCATCACAGGAGTCTAGAGCGAGGGCTACATGGTGGAGGGGACCTGGGGGAGGGTTTGTAAAACAATGAAAGAATCTTTTCTTTTACTTTTTCATAATTTTTGACTCATGTACTTATAACTTGTTAGTCAAATTTGTGTCTTCTAGGTTGCAACAGGACG